CATTAAGCACATCTGTTCCTCTCCAGCACATCTGCAGGTTAATGGGCAAGTTGAAGCATTCAACAAAATCAGCAAAAGAACTCTGAAGACCAGATTAGAAAAGCTTAAAGGGTTGTGGGCAGAGAAACTTCCCAACGCATTATGGGCCTACAGAACAACACCTTGTACTTCGATAGGAGAAACGCCATTTTCATTATTATTTGGCTCTGAAGTGGTAGTGTCAGTCGAAATTGGACTCCCCTCCCCAAAGGTAGAGCAGTTCAGTCTACTTGACAACAACGAATCCGTAAAGCTCAACCTCGACCTATTAAAAGAACATCGAGAAACAGCATGGCTACGAACGGCTGAATACAAAAATCGAATAACTCGATATTATAACTCGAAGGTTAAGAAACGTGATTTTAAAGAAGGCGATCTGGTGTTAAGAAAGATTATGCCCAATACTAAAGATTCAACTAGCGGTGCGTTCGGGCCAACATGGGAGGGCCCATACAAAGTCACTAAAGTGGTGCGAATAGACACTTATGCTTTAAAAGACCAACGGGGGAAAGCCTTACTACACCCATTGCACGCTCAACACCTCAAAAGATACTACCACTAGTTCGACATATTTCTGGACATTTTTATGTTTTTCCATTATTTGGACCAACTAAGGTTATTGTAACTAAATCTTCGATAGGACGATTTTCCTACTAATAAAGTATTCGACATTCGACGTGATACTTGAGTTTTTATGTTCATTCTGAAATAAATTTCTCAAGCATGGGGCATCATATGAATATCTACATATCTACAACCTGAATATCTACATATCTATGACCAATCAAGAAACTCAAAATTGAGACGAACCTAGAAGCAGGCCGATAAGCTAAAAGTCAATCAGTAAAACCAGGGAAAAGAATCCCGAGGTGCTGAAAAAGGCATGCGTACAGGCCCAGCAAGGTTAAAACAGAAAACAGGCAAGCCTATCCAATCAATGAAACCCACGGGTAGAAAATCGTATGGAAAAAGCCAAAATGGGTTAAAAACCCGAGGGTGTTGATTTAACTTGGGGTAAAAAACCGGCAAAAGCCAAATATGTTAGAAACCTAAGGGAGCCGACTAAACTCAGGGTATAAAAGCCATTGGCAAAAGTCAAGTGGGTTAGACACCCAAGAGTAAACCCTGATGTATAAAACATGGGCAAAAGTCAAGTAGGTTAGAAACCCAAAGGTATCGACATTAGTTCTGTTAAAGTTAGATCCCAAGGCCAAAAGTAAATGGCTTAAACTCATATGAGAATAAAACCAGGCTCAGGAGACTTAATTGTGGTCAACGAAAATTGGAAAAAACTTCCAATTCATGAATAGTATCGACAAGCTCAAGGTGCAAAACCAGTGGTAGGAACCAAGCACTAAAATCCAAAATTGGATCAAAAGCTTTTGGTAGAAGCTCTGTGAGTTAGAAATCTTCACATTATTAGCCACTAATATACAATGATCTCGTGGTAACGACAAGCGACAAGTACTCTCAAAATAAAGATCTTGACACAATTATTCGTCTTCTGTTTTGAGAGTGGGGGCTATTGTTATAGAGAACAAAAATGACCCGAAATGGGACAAGGAGTTGAAGCCTGAGATCATCGATTGGGGGAGACCGGCCCGCGACGTAACAGGCCGACCCAAAGAACGACCTAACACCGAGGCAGAGAACGAGGAAAGTGACTAGTGGAGAACTAACCAGGCCGAGAGGGCTCGATCTCTACCCCTGCTCGGTCCTAACCACTTCTCGGTCCCGACCCCTGCTCGGACCATGGTCCAGCCCATGAATCTCCCGCCTACGATCTACGATCCCTCGGGCCCTACAACGCTGAATTAGGGTTTGGCTACGGAGGTTCTGGAATCATCTTCACGGCTATAAGTAGTAGTGAGATCCAACCCTGAAGGGGCAGGTGACTAATCCTTAGCTAACTATTTTCTCAACTATCCCTCACTAACTTAAGCATCGGAGCCCGTGTGATTGAGGTCACACCGGTTTAGATCGGTTTGATTTTGCAGGTATCGGTTCCCTTATCATCGAGTTTAGTGTGAGCGAGAAGAAGAGCCAGAGGGTCAAAATCCACGCATCAACAATATTTATGAAATTATGTTATGTGTACACTAAAAAACTCTGGCCGCCTCAACACAATTTGCATGCAGCCCTCTTAGTAGTCACAGTGTTTAGAAAACTTTCTTCCTCACCAAAGTTTTTATTTCTAAATTCAATCACTTCTTTTCATTTGGCACTCGACGTCAAATTGACTTCCAATAAGTCATACCTCTCCACCACCTTGCCTTCCTTCACCCTTCGGCCTTCAATCTCTCGTTCGGTAGTGTCGTCACACAATTGGACTTCTGGCAGCGTCACTTTAGTTCGACTTCTAACATCATCATTCTTTGGTTAGATTTTTCTTTGGGCAGTTGTTGATTTTTTTAGCTATTTTTTTAATAAATATGTTACTATTTCGGTAGTGCTTTTTGGACTTCAACGTCGAAGAGGGTGAAATTTTTTGAAGAAACTATTCATCAATTGCAAATTCCATGCACCAAAAAGCTTGTTCTTGATTGTATGACTAGATGGAATTCTACATATTTGCTGCTCAAAACTGCTTTTCCTCGCTTGAAGCAACGTGAAACACAATACAAATGTCTCCCTTCGAAAAATGATTGGGCTTTTGCAAGTGAAATGTGTGATAGATTGGAAGTCTTTTACAATATGACTGAGTTATTTTCTAGGACAAAGTATCCAACTTCCAATGTATTTTTTCTAGAAATTTGTGATATTAGGTTGGAACTTTCTTAGTGGCTTGACTTTGATATTGATGAGATAAAAGTGATGGCATCGAGAATGATTGCTAAGTTTGAAAAATATTGGAGTATGATTCATGTTGTCATGGCAATAGCCACAATATTGGATCCTAGATTTAAGATGAGATTGCTTGAATTTTATTTTAATCAAATCTATGGAGCTCAATATTCAGATGAAATTCAACGTGTTCGAGACATGTGCAATGACTTAGTGAAGTATTACAAATCCACTTCAAGTATGGTTGGAGAATCTTCAAGTTCTATAGTTACTTCTTTGACCCCAAGGCGAGATGTGAATAATTGTATTGTTCAAAAGAAAGACAGATTTCTCAAGTACGATGAGTATGTTAGTATTGTTGCAGATACTGACAATGTCAAATCAGATCTAGATCTTTGTTTAGAGGAAAGTCTTTTTCCACAATCCAATGACTTTTAGATTTTCACTTGGTGGAAGTTAAATGAGGTAAAGTATCCTATTTTGTATCAAATTGCCAAAGATATTTTAGCTCCTCCTATCACTGTTGTTGCTTCAGAGTCTGCATTTAGTATTGGTGGTAGATATGTAAGTCCACATCGTTGTAGACTTCATGTTAACTTACTTAAGGCTTTGATGTGCACTTAAGATTGGCCATGGGCAGGAGGTATGAGTAAATCTTTACAAAGTCATGCTATTTACTTTTTAAAATATTAAATGTCTTATTGAATACTTAATATGTTGTTATCTTTGTACTTGTTTTAAATAGATACAAGATGAAAATGAAGTGGCAACTATTTTGGAGGACCAGGATCTAGATGATGAGGTAAGTGATTAGTTTGTGTATTTAAATTAACTTAGTTATTGATTGATGATAACATATATTCTTTTTCTTTTTCTTTTTCTTTTTCTTTTTCTTTTTTAGGAATCATGCATCATGAATTAAAGGAGGAAATTGAAGTTCCTACTATAACGTTTAGTTGTAGTTTATATATTTTTGAATGATTTGTGATTTTGTAAAAATTTAACTTTTTTCGAATTTATTGTTGAGATGTTGCAGACTTGTTGTGATGTGTTTACATTTTATATTCATAATTAGACTAAGATGATTTATGATGTTGTTTTTATTAGGCGTTTTAGGAATTTTTTTACTTTAAATGAGGATAACTAAATAATGTAAATGAGTTTTAATCCTTGAAGAAGCAATTAGTGTGAATTTTATTTTAAAAATGTAATTCAATTGCAAAATAAAATAAATAATTAAATGGAAAAAAATTCCTCGTGGGGAACCCGATCCCCACAAATTCCCCTTGGGGAATCCCCACCTCGATGCTCGAAAAATTTTGTGGGGAATTTCGCGGGGACGAGGAATGGAATGGGGGGAGGGGATGGGGAGGGGAAGCCTCTGATAACTCTCCATAAAATAGTGTTTTTTGGCATAAATTGGGGCAATTTGGTGTGTAAATGTAAGGGTCCTAGGTTAATTAGTAAGAAAAGAGAAGCTTTTAGCTATAAAATCACATAAGCTGTTTAGAATTCTCATTATCTTTTATCGGAGTGACTTTGAGCTGATTTTACGTTATTTTGTTGTGTTTTGTAATTTAGGATGATTAAGCTGAGTGCTGCAAAGTCTGCTATTAATGATGCTAGAGCCTGGTGTCTGCCAGATGCTCTAGCACATGTGACTGCGGCCACAGAGAGTCCTAGAGCAACAAATCAAGTTGGGCATCGAAATTAGGGAACATTCCCTACTTTTTCTCATCGAAGAAGGAGCTGAAGGACGTGGGCTGATTCTCCTTGGCGTCACCATTTTGCTGTTGAGGAAGCTTCCATTTCTAAGCTGTCTTCTTCACCGATAGAGCACATTTCTCTTCTACTCACTCTTCTTTTTTCTTTCGTTATGAACTAAACCCCACTTTCGGGAAGGATGGGCTTGCTGTAGCCTTATTGCTTGCTGTGTTTTAGTGACCTTCAATATTGTTTTAATAGATGTGTTTTTATTTTTCCATGTCACTGAATTTGTTTGGCCAACTTATTTAGTGTGTTTGCTTGCTTGAGGCTTGGGAGAATCTGTAACGACCCCAAATTTCAAACATTTAAGTTCGAGGTAACGTTATCACACTCCCTGTTCAACCCCTCTAAAAAATAAGACATAAAACAACTATTGTAAAGACAAACGTGTAGGTTCGTACTTCAACCAATTCCTAATGAAAACTCGACTGCCTCAGTGGCTAATAAATCCATAAAGAGAATTGAACATTCAATTTGTCCAACAAATCCAAATTACACAAGAAATTTAAATAAGTAAAACAACGATTCATCTGGAAAATCGTTCAACACATCAAAAACAACAATTGCTAGTTCACCGCCAACAACGAGTCCCTAATGCTCCCAACAATCAAATTATAATTCAACTATCCTAGACAAAAGTACGCAGCCTAATGGTCCTCCCTCGATCAAGCCTCCTCCACGTCATCACCACGGCTAAGGATTCGGTTTACACCTAAAATAATTAAGGAAGAGGGGGTGAGTATATAAAATACTCCGTAAGTAGCCTTCACTAACTATTCAGAAACAACATGCATCCTAACCACAACAATCATAAAGAGAAAAACGATAACTAGGAATCAAGCATCAATGGTCATAACAGTCAAATCAACACACACGCACAAGCATCCGGAATAACAAGATTCACGCCACTTCAGCCATAAGGTCCACTGAACTCTAACTCCTCCAAGCTACTTCTACCCAGTGCACTAAGTTAGTCCTCCAAGTCTAACTCTTCGAGTAGTATCGACCCTTGACATTTATCCCCAAGACCCCGACACTCCTCTACAAAAGCTTGGCTTT